TAAAGGTCTTTTCCAACCTAGACGATTCTATGATTCTAAATCAAGTGAGTGAATTAAAAACTCTCTTCCCTCACATTTATTGTCATAAATTTATAGCATCCCACAGGGCTAGTGCTGGGGGGAGCATTCTGCCCCAAAGAATGTTTGTCTTGTGCTGTGGTCGCTTGCTAATATCACCATGGATTTTTTTACTTTAAGTTACGTGTTACTGGACTTAAAGCCTCTAGAGTAATTTTCCCTCTGAAAGAATTAAGTTCTGATACTGCTCTTCTGTATTTTGTCCCACCGGATTGTTTGGCAGCCTGGCTGTAGGTACCCACAGTTTCGCTAAGCAGCCGCTCCTTTCACACCTCTCCCACCATGCGCCAAGGGGCTTGACTCGACGCCACGGAGGCCGAGGACTCCCGTGGGTGGCAGCCGCCTTTGTGCCACCCTGCAGCATACTCGTCGTGCAGCTCCACCAGGACGAGGGGTTCCTGCAGCCTGATGCTTGCGACCATAAACGCTGCTCCACGTGTACACACACACGGGTTCCCACAGTTTTGGTTTTTTTTCCAAGCACCATCTTGCATAAAATTCCACCTCTGGCTTCGTCTGCTCCTCCAGTTCAGTTTGTCCGAGGAGTCCTGTCCTACTGCTCTGAAATGTGTTTTGCCCCAGGGACCACTTCATTACCTAGTCACGTGCTCAAAGTTTTCATGTGTGAGCAAATGGACGTATCTAATTCTTCCTCGGTCGACTGGCTTAAACTCCCTGTTTAGCAGTTATGGGGTAGCGTTCAGAACATACTCTATGATTTTTCACAACCCTGGCTTTCATTTCCAGGTAGTCTTTCCGAAGGAGCAGGTAGAACGTGTTGCACGCATTCAAGCCTATAGGATGCAAGCATTAAAGATAAGCCTCCAACCTGCAGCAAACTTGATAACAAGAGCCCATACTTTAGTTACTTGCAACAAGAGCAATCGTTCCTCAGTTTGGAGACTGGACTCAGATCTTCAAAATCCTCACGCTACTGTGTGAATTTAAAGTGCATCCTGTGTATTTATATTAAATGTGTCTGTAGCTACCTTCAGCAATATGGTACTTATTTATTTGTGCAATTATTCCGTGCCTCTAGATTTAGCACGCTGCTATTCCAGCTGTCGGCTGTGAACACCTGGCAGTCTGTGAGCTACCTGCCAGAGCCTGGGATCAGCAATAAAGGCAGCAAGAGCTGTCAGTGAGAACCTCCCCCTTCCCTCAAAAAATATATGGAGTCAACAAATCCAAGCATGGTTGGAAAGTATGGTTTCTGTGAGTCCTTTCGGTGTATTGAATGCAAATTGTTCTGGAAGTTCTTTGTACCAACAGCCTGAAAGAATGGCTGTCACGTGAGGAAACTTCTACTGTATTTGATGCATTGCGAAATCTTTCTTAACTGGGCTCTTGTCAAGGTAGTCATTTGAAGATTAAATACTTAACTGTTTTTATTCTGACGTTGTTTGGGAAGAGTGTTAAATTTAGATCCATGTCAGGAGAAGACAAGCACATAAACAAGAACTTCTGACCTCATGGCAAAAAAACCCCATGAGACATGAACTTTCACAAACTTTGATAGTACTGGGGGTATATAAAAAGAAACAGAACTTGTCAAATTGCTTTTTAGATTTTTCCCAAATGTGATCTGTTGCCTTTCTTCAAGGTGTGTGGTTGGTTTTTTTTTTTAATCACCTTTTCCTCTCTAGACATGTGTGGCCAGCTACAGTATTATTTTTGCGGGTAGATATAGCAGATAAGTTCTTGCTTTGCATTCCACTGGATTCCTATCAATATAAGGTCATACTCCTATGCGGAGGGCTGGCACAGGCATTTCAGGATCAGTGGTGTTATTTTTAATTGCTGTATGTGAACTACCCCGTACTGTAAGGGAAAGAACCTCTTGCTCTGAAGACCAAATACACTTTTGCATCCCACATACCTTGTTGTCACATCTTCCAAAGGATTGTCGCTTTACTATGTTTGGGAATATCTAGCCCTTAGATGAATTCATGTCTATTCTGGTAGCACTTCCAGCTATGTGGGAGTTAATCACAACAGACTGAATGATAGGACTCAAGGAAGTCCACAAACAAGTCAGTATCACAGAAACAGGGCCTGCCCGCATCCCTCTGCCGCTGGCTTGTAGTGGCAGCGATACTGGCTGAAGTCACAACACAGACTGGGTGTGGGCACTGCAGCCCGCGGGGAGCGTACTTGTCCCTGGGTGCCATTTGGTTTGCGGCAGCAGGCACGTACGCCAGCAAACCCCAGGACCTGGGTACCCCCCTCCCCGAGGCGGGCAGGCATGGAGGGCGTGCTGCAAGCCAGGACACACAGGGGCTGCAGCAGGGCAAGTCTCAGCCGAGATAGGGAGTGAGCAGCGGTGCTGCTGTGGTGCCCTCGGTGCTGCTACCCCCTCCAAAGGCCAGTGAATTAAGCCATTTTGCAATAAAACCCTCAACTTGTATCTCATTCCCCACCCCTCCAAAAAGTTGGCTTTTCATAGGACAGAATACAGCTTCCTAGTGTGAAGCATTAGTGCCATTACTCATTACAGTACCTAGGACTAGCCAGTCCTGAAAAGCTAGACCCCACCCTGCTGAAAAGCCTGCAAAGGAGAGAATTTTGAAGATGTTTGCCCTTTCCAAACACTGAAGAGTAAAGGTAGCAGGTTGTGTGAGAATTCAAACTTTAGAGTTTGTGCTCAGGGGGACATGTCTTTGATTTGATTGCAGCCTGATGGTTCAAAAAAGGAGGCCCAAACTTGACAGCAATAGTAGCTGAAACACTTCCTCTCTAAGGAGTTCTACAACTCTCACAAGCTTTTCCTCCAAAGAAACACAGCAGACAAAAATGGAAAACCATTACGTGAAGAGTCTATGAACTTAGAAAACTGAGTACCCTTTAACCATTGCAGCTAGATTCCTCATTAAACCAGGTAACCAAGGGATTACTTGATCAGTCTGTAATGCTTTGTCAGGCCTAAGCAACCACGTGACCAGGCCAGTGTTAACATCACACCTGGGCACAAGAGCATCTACACCAAGTGTTATTCCAGCCTGTAGTGCCAGCTTACGGACTGGAAGTGCTGGCTGAAAGAATTCCTGCTCTCAAAGGCAGGGGAAAGAACCCTCACCTCCGCTCACAACTCCCTCTGTTGAAGCTGAATATTACCCCTATTTTAGCCACACTACCAACAGATAACTTGAACTTCACACAAGCTATGTTTTAAAAATTTATTCTGTAAACTCCATACTGGGTCTTTAGTTCTCCTTTTCCTGCACAGTCTTTGTTCCACGCAGTCTACCCGTACGACGGGCAGCAATGAGACCAACTTTGCGGCCAGCAGGAGCATCTCTCCTGATGGTTGACGGCTTGCCAATGTGCTGATGGTTGCCACCACCAAAGGGATGTTCTACAGGCTGTGGAAAAGGAAAGCAAAAGTCGTCAATGTAATTAACAACAGAAACGAGTAGGATGATTAACAGCAATAAACTGACTTCAGGAACAAAAAATTTAACTGTTTTGTTTTTCATACAGTGCAGGAACTATCAAGCGCTGCTAGCTACCCTAATTAAATGCGCGATTACAGGGTAGTCTGCAAAGCTTTCTTTCCAGATACGTGCCAGACTCCTCCCCATCTCAAACAACTCATTTCTAAACCATAAAAAAGCAAAGTGAAAACTCTTAATTGAAAATAGACTCACATTCATGGCCACACCACGGACACGCGGCCAGCAGTTTCTCTTCGCCTTGTACTTGTGATAAGCACGGCCAGCCTTCAGGATGGGCTTGTCAATACGACCTCCACCAGCAACGATTCCTGAAAAAAATCAGAGGAATGGTAACATGCAAATGTTGCAGGCAAGAGAGAGAAAGAAACAGTTTATTCCTAATAATACTCAAGGTCTAAGAACAAGCTTCTGAGGAGCAATCTCAAACAATCCCAACTGTGTATTCAATCCAATATTTTCCAGCTACTAGCCACACATTAAGTGATCTGCAAGGAGACATGTACCTTAACCACCATTTTTCAATCCATACATATGTATGATTGAGCTTAGCACTCCTTCTAAAGCATTATCAGTTTTACTGCTAGCATTTCTTGGGGAAAAATGTTTTGTTAGTATTACAACTAAAAAAAGCATGAATTGAAAGAGCTCAGTGGACTTTAGAGCCCTTTGAGGTTTAGTAGTTAGTTATTTCCTTATTTATTTAGTCAATTTTACTAGAGTAAGAGACCACAAATTATTAATTTTTATGTTTTCTATTTGGATGCAAGGATATTTGGTAACTTCTGTCTCATCAAGACAAGTAACACTGCTCACATCCAACAGTTGTCTCTCTCCCTGCACCTTCAGCACTTGCCCAGGACTACATCAAGTGTCAAAAGTACAGCTGTCAGTCAGGTGTATAACAAACCTGGTAAGACGTCTCCTTCTCGACAACAGTATTTTTATTGTCAGACCTTCCAGAATACTTCACCCAACTGACGACACCTACAGCAGCTAAGCACCTTCAGCACTACCCCTACAGCCTCAGGCGCTGTACCAAAAGCGGGAAACCATCAATGCCATTTTCTGCAGATGTTATTCCCCAAGGACTGCACATTCTAGAGGGTGAGCGATTCCATTACAGCTTGAGGACAACCAGCATCTACTTTTCTGTCCTCTCCCTAGGTCAAACTATTTCCCAGCTTAAGTTCCCATTACCAAAAGTAATGCAGGCATAATATACTCTGCACAGACTGTACCTGTGTATAATCCTGAGTCCAGCCTGGAAATTATGACATTTTCTAGACAGTATTGGGAATTGGGGCCCCGTTTGAAAGCTTGCTTAGCAGTACGTAAACTCAGTGACAAGACAAGTTCATAGGTGTTGCTCCTTACCAACAACAGCTCTGTTTGCAGAAGAAATCACCTTCTTGGAGCCAGAAGGCAGCTTCACTCTGGTTTTCTTTGTTTCAGGGTTATGAGAGATAACGGTGGCGTAGTTTCCAGAAGCACGGGCCAGCTTTCCACGGTCACCAGGTTTCTCCTCAAGGCAGCACACAATGGTGCCTTCCGGCATGGTGCCCACAGGTAGAACATTGCCAATGTTCAGCTGAGCTGCAAAAAGCAATCAGAGCACTAACAGGTTCATTCAGGCTCCTGTACTTGAATTACCATTCTATTTAACGTGGGCCTCTGTGCATAGAAGGGCACCATGCAAATGCCTTGGTAGCAACAGGCAGGGGCACTTTTTATTGTTTGACTCAAAACACAAGTTTCACATTCAGTATAACAGAAAAGCAGGGAAAATGGGACTCCAGACAGAACAATCCAAACACTTGACAAGAACCACGGTTAGGCTTGTTAATCAAAACAGGCTGCGTGAGAAGACCGCAGTCTCCAAGGAAATCTAGGTCTGCTTGAAGCCAGAGGAAGCTACTGCTTTGTGATGGCTCACAACTGCACTTAAACATCCTGAACTTCACATATTCAGATGCCATCTGCTTTAGCCTTCTGAAACTGCCCAGGCAACACACTCTCCATCTTAACTCACCTTTCTTGCCGCAGTAAACAAACTGACCAGTATGAATACCCTCAGCAGCAATGAAAAGCTCGGTTCTTTTCTTAAACCTGTACGGGTCACGGAAGGCAATCTTGGCAAGGGGAGCGCCTCGGCCAGGATCATGAATGATGTCCTGTTGGAACGTAGATATGTTTTAGGACACAGTGTTTGTCATGGCTTCTGCAGAAATCAAAGAACTAGAAAAACTGGAGATCATTAGTACCAAGATAATTCTCACTAGGATCCCCCCTTTCTCAGAGGGATCTTGGTTTCTCCCAACATGAACGAGTTGAAGATTCACATTTGTAAGAATACAACCTCAAGTATCTGTATCACAAAATGACAACTCTGGTTAATTGTGCTGCTTTAAACTAATTGTGTCTGGTTTATTCCTGACATTCTGCAGATATTGGATCTCTCTGTACTAAGAAATGCACTTTCACTAGCTGCCCAATCACCTTTGGGCAGAGACAAAATTGGACGCAAGCAGCAATTTCTCCAAGTGTTTTCTTAGAACGGAAGTGTTTCTATCTTTCTGATATTAAATACACTGAAGTTATGTAAGTCCCTAAATGAGGGAGTGCAGACTTACTGTTTCTTTTTGCGTTGGAAAAATATATCAATTCTGTTCCTGAAGTACACTGAGATTCCAATACACAACCATATATTTAGACTACAGCTAAGTGATGAATGCTCTTTAAGATGTGTCTCTTTCCTAGGAAAGCTCAGATGTTGTTGGTGTCCAGTATTACTGTTTTTTCTGCTGGTTTCGACCCTGTCGGGCAAAACCCCCCTGTGTATTACATAAGTTTAAATCAAACCTACCTACCGTTTACCATCAAACTCAATTATGGCAAGCATGAAGAAAGTTCTTTCCACAGCCTGAAGATGACCTCGCTCTAAAAGGCTGAAGAGACGGCTAGATGTTCAGCGCATCTAGCTAGGTACCCAGTGGCACTGTTGGCAGGCTAAGTCGCTGACACCCAAAAAAATACCTACAGCACACCTGGAACACTGCATCTTACCCCAAATAAAAGTACTGCCTTGCCCCCAGCGCTCAGGACTAAGATGATAGATGCTAGTACAAAGATGGATTTTTTTTTTTTTTAAAGATGCAATCAACACGTGGACAACTCTGCCCACCCATGTTTCACGAGGCACCCGGAGTTCTTAGGGGATATAAAAGCTTGCTGATATTCCTGCATTAGCAAAGCTCTCGGAAAAAACTGTACTGCTGCCTACATGCTGCCAGCTTCTTTACTGAAACGCTGTCGCAAATCCACAGTAGTTTAACGTTTCAAGTACCGTGACTTACTTAACAAACACGAGAAGCCCGAATAAGGCACAGCCAAACGGCTTCCAGCACAGCTGACCGGGCTTCAGATCCCTCACGCCAGCGAGGAGTGGAGGGGCGCGGGCCTCGCGGCCCCACGCATTCGACGCCGGGGCCTGCGGAGGGCCCTTCCCCCTCCCGCGGG